ACCATACATACTATGAAAGAAAAGAGCAAAGATGGTGATAATTTAGATTAGGTAGGATAGGGAATATTCTTAGGATGTGATATTGAGGCTAAGGCTTGAAGGATGAGTAGAATTTAGCTGGTCAAAGAGTAAGAGAGGGCCAGGTGCGGTGGCTCACGCCTGTAATCCTAGCACTATGGGCAGCTGAGGCAGGAGGATTGCTTTAGCTCAGGAATTCAAGACCAGCCTGAGAAAGAGTGAAACTCTGTCTCTACTAAAAATGGAAAAAATTAGCCGGGCGTGGGGGCATGCGCCTGTAGTACCAGCTACTCGGGAGGCTGAGGCAGGAGGATCACTTGAGCCCAGGAGTTTGAGGTTGCTGTGAGCTAGGCTGATGCCATGGTACTCTAGCCAGGGCAACAGAGTGATACTCCATCTCAAAAAAAAAAATGCAATATGCCCTGTAGTTCAACAATATATGCCAATCACTAACCAATGTCATTTCTGTAAACCAATGAGAATTCCTGATGAACTTTAGTAACTGTTTTCTTCTCTTGATTCATCCTTTTTTCTTTAAAAACTTGAGCCTCTATTTTGTTCTCTGGAGCACTCCCCAAGGCAATTTGGAAGTGTGTCCTGGGTTGTAATCTTCAACCTTGGCCCAAATAAACTCTCTATATTAATTTTGCCTCAGCTTCATCCTTTTCGGTCAACAATAGAAGTGTCCAGATAATAAAAGGAATAGTCTTACTGAAGTCTGAATTGATCAGAATAAATCTGGGGTACTGTGCTCAGGGTGAAATTTTAAAAGTAATATCTCTTACCCATCCCTTTCTTTCCATTCCCACCATCAGATTCTCTTGTCTCATACCTGGTAGGGCAGATTGTTTCCAATGATCCCACTGAATGCAGATGCCTTTCGTAGTGTCACTTGCCACTTCTTCCAGCAAGAGATGAAGTCTATTTTTCCTTCTGGTGACTCCTGGCTAGCACTGTATCTTACTTTGACCAAAACAAGTGACGGTGTTTACCTTATAGGCCCAGTCCTAAAAGGCCTTACAGCTTCCATTTTCACACCCTTGGTTGCCAGCCACCAGGTCAAGAAACTGGGGTTCGGCTGGTCTGATGGTAGTGGATTATCAGAACTTATTAACATTAGTGTCACTAAAGTTGGTATTCAACCCCTCACTGCTAAATTTGACTGGCTTTAAAAAAAAAAAAAGAAACTGGGGCTAGATGACTGATTGATGAGAGGTCAATGTGAAGAGAAAGGTCATGTAGAGAACTGAGGGACCCAGCCAACAGCTAGCACAGAGGCCCTACACAGGTGAGTGAAGCCATCTTGCATCTTTCAGCCCTACTCAAACCAATACTGGTGATTTTCTATGTCTGTGTGACTGCCCAGTAGAGTAGTCGCTAGCCACGTATGTCTACTGAGTCCTTGCAATGTGACTAGGGCATCTGAAGAACTTCATTTTAAATTTCATTTGATTTTAACTAATTAAACTTTAAATAGCTACCAATTACTATACAGATCAGCATAAAAGTTGAGAAAGAAAATAAACTTTTTATCTGGGGAATGTAAGCCCCCTTTAAATTATCAGACCTAGAGAGGCATTAAAATGAGATAGCAGTCATGTCTCACTCCCCCTTGAAGTAAGTAATTATTTTGAAGCTATCTGCTATGTGGACTCTAGACTGAGTGTCACCACCGAGTAACCATAAATTAAACTAATAATGCCATATGCTGGACACCATAACTCATACCCTATAGTTCAATAATGTACAGCCAATCACAAATCAATATTATTTCCGAAACAAATGGGAATTTCTGAAAAACAACTTTTGTGATTGCCCCCTCTCCTGATTCATTCTTTTTCTTTAAAAACTTGAGCCCCGCCTTTGTTCTCCGGAGCACTTCCCGGGATTTCCTGGGCTACAGTCCTCAACCTTGGCTCAAATAAACTCTCTACCTATATTGATTTTGCCTCCATTTCCTTATTTAGGTCGACAAAGTCTATTCCCACTCTAACCCACCCTGCATAATCCTGCTAAAAGAATAGGGCATAAGGCAGCCAAAAATCACTTTAGCCCCTTCTCGGGGCTGTAAGTACTTAAGCAAGAAAAAAGAAGAAAAAAAGCACCTAATGCAGTGACTAGAGATGGTTGGTGGAGAAGGATACAGTACAGCTCCGTCAGGGGTGTTAAAAAAAAAAAAAAGACTTCCCTCCAATGTCACCCAAAGGAAAGTAGTGACCCATTCTAACTAAATTTCATCTGCATAAAAAATGCTAACCAGAAAGGGAAATTTCCACACAGTAGAGTAAATATGAGTCCCACATCTAGCCTAGAGAAGTCCTGACTAGAAAATTAGCCTTCAAAAACTGTTTTCAGTGCTTGCTTTGGCAGCACATATACTAAAATTGGAATGATACAGAGAAGATTTTAGCATGGCCCCTGTGTAAGGATGATATGCAAATTCACGAAGTGTTCCATATTTTTAATATTCTGAAATAAAATAAATTAAAAACACACACACACACACACACACACAAACCGTTTTCCTCACATCTGCTGAAAAATATTATTAGTTCCCCAGTTAACTCTTTTTTGTGGGGGGGAGAAGAGGCAGAAAGGAAATATGAGAAAGCCTATTATGTGTGCTAAACACAGCCATATCTGTTAATGCATCTAATTATCTTAGTCATTTTTTTCAAACCAAGTAAATAGAAGCTCAGAGAGTAACTTGCCTAAGGACCTATAACTAGTCAGTGCCAGAGACAAAACAAAACCAGGCTCTGAATTTCCAATCCCTTACTCTTTCCAATACACCAGAAAGCCTCTGCTATCAAAAATAAAAAAAAAAGTCTACCTGCTTTTTGAGATTTTTCATGATCTGGTTACCTAAGTAACTATTTCCACTTTTAATGCCTTAACTCTTACCAGTCTGATCTTATTTCCCCTCCTTCACTTAAACGCTAATTCATTTCATTTCTTCTAATTCTACCCACCCTTCAAAGCCCAGTTTAAACCTTTTATTCCTTCCATGAAAGCTTCCTCATCTTAATCCCAATTAATTTCCCTCTCCTCTGAATTTTTACATCACTTATAACAGACAACACATAATGTAACACTCTTTATTACACTGCTTTTCTTTAAATATATCGTAATCTCCTTGAGGACAGAGGCCACTTACCTCTTCGGAGAGTGGCCATCCTCCCAAATTTCCTCAGATTTCCCCCAAAGCCGTGAGTAGGTACTGCCGGAATGGATGAATGATCTAAACTCAACAGACAAATACTTTTTGATTCATTAAAGTCAGCCCCAAACGCTGCTGTTTTACCCTTTGCTTAATCTACCGCACACCCCTTAATCCAAGAGGGCGGAGCCGCGAATCGAGAAAGCAGCCCCGCCACGTCACGCGCCCCTCCAGCTCCCGCACGCCACGCCCAGCCTGCTGGTTGCCGATTGGGCGTGGCCCTGTCTAGGGAGGCTGATTGGGCGTGGCGTGCGCGGGTGAAGGCGTGGCTCAGAAGAGGAACCTACCCGCTCGGTCGGACTCGGTAGTTTCCGGTAGTCCTCGACCATTTCCGGTAACTGTCGCCTCCTCCGCCGACATACCTCGGGTATTTCCGGCCCATTTCGGGCTTTTCCGTCGGGCTCCAGCTCGGATCTCTCCATTTCGGGTATTTCCGTGTCCCGCTCGGAGGTGCTCGGCAATCGCTCGGCCTCCCCCATTCCCCGGTAACGGTCGCTGGTGAGTTTAAATGAGCCTGGGCTGGCCGGGCCGGAGCCGCTACGGGGGGGCCTGAGGCACTGCAGAAAGTGGGCCTGAGTCTCAAGGATGACGGTGCTGCAGGAACCCGTCCAGGTAATGATAACCCCCTTCTCTGAGGCTTGCCTCGCAGGCTCGGTCGGGAAGCAGCGTATGGCCACTCCGCGGCCTGGTGCGGCCTAGGCCCGGCTGCTTCTCCCGCCTCCCCTTCTGCCGGGTCCTGCCTACCTTTCCTTACCTAGGAGGGCTTGGCCGCAACCTAAGCCGTGTTACCTCTGGCCCTACTTTACTTCTACCCCTCGGGCGAGCGGGATTGGGCGATAATACCGTCTTTCCCGTCGGAGCCAACGTCTGGCCAGCCTCTCCTGTCAATCGAGGGGCCTGGTTTGGCCGGGGTTAAGAGATGAGGGGGCTGAAAACGCGCCTCAGGTGTTCTCTTGCCTAAAGGATGATTGAGAAGCACATTTGATCAGAGCTTATGTGGTGTTCATAATGGTAGGGCAAGTTTTGGAGCGTGGGGGGTGCTTTTGTTTTTGTTTTCTGTGAGAAGGTAGAGGGAGGGTGAGATCGATATTTTCCATACTAATTTCTGTTTGCTAACAGACTTCCCAGCCCACGTTGCCTTTCTCTCAGTGAATTTCCCACTGGACAATGATGATTTGAGAAGACAGCTCCAAGGCTCAGTGCTGAGGTGCAAGCACCTATACAAGGGGAGAGGGAGGAAAGGACAGATCTGGTTTTTTCATTACCTGTGATGGGGATCAGGGGCATTTTATTGTGCATGTTTATAAGGCGTTCAGAAGATGAAAGATAAATAATGGTTTTCCTGCCCATTTCACTGTCCCGACCACACCAAGGTATGCTTTGAGGCACAGTACTCTGTTGGCATAGAAGAAATCCTACTGGGTTCTAAGTGTGTGATGCAACGCCAAGTCATTTTTCCCGCTGACATCTGAGGAAACTTCATCTCTTGTCCCTTGGTAATGGACCAGTCTGAGACCATCCCACCATATGATCTTTGACTTGGTCACATAAGTTGACCTTCATCAACTGCTGTCTTGGAGTAGTAGACTTTATTTTGAAGTTATAACACAAACTGATTTTAGAAATTACTTCATATTCCCCTTAATCGACTTGTGGTATCAAATAGTAAATATTTTAATACATCACTATTTCTGTATTTCCTTAATTGTTCTAAACAGCATGAAATACTCATTTCTCCTAGTTTAGCTTCTTCTCCAGCTCTTTACAGGTAGCAGATATTAGTGTTTAAATGAATATGATGCAGAATTCTGTGTTAGGAAATTTACCTGTGTGTAAGTTGCTATCAATTCTACCAGAGCTATTTCTTTCCACCCAAATTCCTCTTACTAGTTCAGAGTCCATTTTAAAACTTTTTGAGGCCTAACATGAAATTAAATGGATAAGACATTACTCAAGTTGTTTAATTTCTATTTCATATCCTTATAATTTTTGTCTTAATAGTGAATGATTCTTTTCTCTGGCCACGAAAGTCTTCTCAAGTGATAAACTAGTTTCACTGATAGGATATAACCACTTTTTAATAATAATTTCAACCTGTATAAAAGCACGGAAAACAGAAGAAATATGTATCCAATTTCTAGGTAGTATCCATCAGGTTTCCTATTTTTCCTTAAAGTACTCTTTGCAGTAATACACTTTGATATGTTGAAAGCTTAAAGATCAAATTTGCCTCTTTTTTTTCACATTGGCTTTGTCCATTAGATTTTGGGATGGTGGGAAGATGTTTTAGGATTTGATTAGGCGAGAATTTTGGTTGTAATTTTATAGTATAAGGAGCTATTCAAGAAGGGACTTAGAGCGGTGGTAGGAACAACCAACTTTGGCTCCAGTGATAAAGATCAATAATCAGGGATAGTGCTGCAGATAGTAAAGGAATTAGTAAAGAAGAGAATAAAAATAGGACAGATAAATAAGATATTGTCTTTTTTTTTTTTGATTACAGATTGCATGTATTTGGGAAGGAATGAGAGTAAGCTGGAAAATTATTTCCTTTCTTGGAATGCCTCAGGGTTGATGATATTACTAGGCATAGGAAAAAGTTGACAGAAAAGATGAGCGACTGTTTTCTGCTTTTTTTTCTTTAAAGTTTTAACATGGAATAGGCAATCTGATATACCATATATGCCTAAATTAAAGCTCCTCCCCAAATTA